TCGAGTAGAGCACAGCAAATTAATCAACAGATACTCCACTGTGACCATTTAAAAAAAATATAAAGAAACTCCAAGGAACAATCAATTTACTAGCTAGCAATAAATTCCGACTCAAAATCTCTTTGTCACAATGGAAAGCCCAACACGTTGATAGACTGATAGACCTTTTCTTAATGTTAACATTCTTGAAGCAAAGGTTTTAACTCATCACTACATCATCACCACTTTCTGGAAATCCAATAAGTGAAAAACGTTTACTTTGAAGTTGTTATTTTAGTGAAGTAACTGTCAAATGAAATTACTTGTGCTGCCAGAAACCATTTAGATAGGCTTAGAAAAAATCCTGCTAGGCCTACTAGAATGCAGATTCCAATAAAGTATTATTTTCCAGCTGATGGCAGTTTAGTTAAGGCTCGATATTATGTAAACCTTAATACGAAAGTCTATGAGTGAACTAAGTGTAGACAGTGAATATATATATTTTATTTTGTGCAAAGTCACTAGAGGGCTACACGCTCGTAACTTTGAAAAGATAGACATAAGAAACAACAGCTAGTCGATAGCACACAGTGTTAACTCTTGGGGTGCTTTTTTTCACAAAGGAATAGCGAGATTCAGCGCAACGTTTTACCCTCCCCCACGGCTAAAAGGACGAGTATGTAGGGTGACGGGTTTCGATCCCGCTACCTACAGATTGCAATTATTGCTATGACCATGTGTATCTTTGCGTTGAAACTTCTAATGTAAAGAAACAACCAGTTCAGTTCGAGTCTCGTTTCTCAACTGCTCAAGGTTTCACTAGTAAAATATTTTTTTAGAATTTTTACTCATTAGTTGATCAGACAAGAGTAGACCAACAGGTGGTGGTGGATGCTGTTGATTAGCTGCTTTTCTTCTAGTCTATCAGTTCCAAATGAATGGCAATTAGCGCAGATAGACCATTGTGTAACTTAGAACAAATATCCGAATCAAACATTCGAAGAGAAAAACAAGAAAAAATATATGTTATGAAATGTTTAGTATGAAGGATTCGTCACAATCCTACACTTTATTACGAAACATTATTTTCTAACGCTATTTCTTTTTTTCTCATAGTTGAAAAGGAAAACCGTGTATCAAACCTAAATAAATCCAAGTTTTTATTTCACGCCTGTCTAAGAATACCTGTCCAACTGAATTCTCACTAAGCTTTTGTTTATTCAGTATGTAAATGCGCTGTTTTTGAATAAATTTCGCAACTTCTTATTTATAAGATATTTTCCAGAGTAGAACAAATTATGTTTGTTATAACACTTTACTGACATTTGTAGAAAGATATTACTTTAAGGTTAATAATTTCTTTCCAATAAAAAGTTTTAATACAGTTTCTCAGATCCGCCGCTGTTTTTAGCATTCTAGGAACGGAAAGTATTTGAACTTATGTTTCTTATACCTTTATTTTTTGCAATACTATCGCTAGTGTTAGGAAGAACCATCAATTTTCCTCGATAAGGAGGAGTGATTCACCATTCTCCTCAAAAATGTGGTACGCGAAGCCTTATGGACGGGATGCTTTCCGCAAGACGAACTGCACTAGTTCGTCTGCTTCTGAAGGCTTTCGAGTAGAGCACAGCAAATTAATCAACAGATACTCCACTGTGACCATTTAAAAAAAAAGAGATAAAGCGGCAAAATAAAATACTCCAAAGAACAATCAATTTTCTATCTTGGACTAAATTCCGGCTGAAAATCTCTTTGTCGCCGTGGAAAGATCAGCACGTTGATAGACTGATAGACCTTTTCTTGAAGTTAACATCCTTGAAGCAAAGGTTTTAAGTCATCGCTACATCATCATCACTCTCGGCAAATCCAACAAATCAAAAACATTTACTGTGAATTTATTGCTTAAGTGAAGTAACTACGAAATGAAATTACATGTACATTCAGAAACCATCTGGATAGGCCTAAAAAAGTCCTTAAATTTTTCTTATTCTGATGTTAAATCTATCTTGTCTGACGTTAAAATTTCCTAAAATAGGCTCTAAACCTTTCTTTTCTGACGATAAACTTTTCTTAAAAATACCTTAAACTTAATTTGTTCCTAAAAAAAAAAGACCCTAAATCTATTTGTCCCCCTAGTGGCTCAACGGTAAGTATGAAGGGTTATAACACTAAAATCCAGGTTTCGATACCAGAGCTGGGCACAGAATAAATAGCCCATTTTGTAACTTTGGCTTTACAACAAAACAAGCAAACGTCAGACTTTCTTAAAAATACTCTAAACCTATAGTGTTCTGACGTTAGACTTTCCTTAAAAAAAACACTAAACCTATAGTGTTCTGACATTAGACTTTCCTAAAAAACACACTAAACCTATAGTGTTCTGACGTTAGACTTTTCTAAAAAACACACTAAACCTATCTTCTTCTGACGTCAGACTTTCCTAATAAACACACTAAACCTATCTTCTTCTGACGTCAGACTTTCCTAAAAACACCCTAAACCTATAGTGTTCTGACATTAGACTTTCCTAAAAAACACACTAAACCTATAGTGCTCTGACGTTAGACTTCCCTAATAAACACATTAAGCCTATCTTCTTCTGAGGTTAAACTATCCTGAAAATGTCCTAAGTCTAGTTTGCTCTGACATCAAAATTTCTAGAACCTCAAGTACACTTTTTATGGCTTATACTTTTAATAATTATTGTATTCATTATTTTATCTTTTTTTTGTATTTTGCACAAATGGCGATCAGATTGAATAACTGGAGAACGTATGTTTAAGTTTCTACCATTTGAAACTATATTTCTTCCGTACGTATTATTCAATGTTTATTTTATATAACTACTTTGTTGAGAAAATTATGTCCAATTATTTTCTATCAATAGTAAAATGCTTGTTTGTTTTGTTAGTGTAACAGCTACCAAGATTATGTAATGTGATTCCTAATTTTTAACTGCCGACCAGAGAGCAGACAATTGGTCGGCAGTATCCACCGCCAACTCTTGGACTACTCTTTTACCAACGAATAGTGGGATTGATTGTTACATCATAACGCTCCCAGGACTGAAAGGATGAGTATGTTCGGCTTCGGGTTTCAGTCCCGCGACCTACAGATTGCGAGTCGAGTGTTACAACAAAGTATTATTTTCCCAGTTTGGCGGCAGTTTAGTTGACCCAATACTATGTGAACGTTAAAACGAAATATTTCGAGTGAAATAAATGTAGAGAGTAAACTTAGTGGATAAATTTGAAAGATTGCTCTTTATTTTATCTGTTATATAATAAAAAGAACATGAGTGGGGACATTTTGTGTTTGATAATAACAAAAGCCTAAACAACAGAAAACCAAAACATCTCTTTATGATAACGTTATGGAGAGAGAGAGATAACACTCAAATGTAACAAATAATTTAAATAAACGCTTCTTAAGAGTGTTTACTTTCATCTATTATTTCAAAACGAAGGGCTGTAGTTCGTTAAAAAGAAGCCATTATTTAGGTGCTGTATAAAATATTTTACGACTAGAAGCCAACACGCAAAATTCACACTATTTTCATCAGTTTTATATCGTATGGAAGAAAAATGTGTAACATGAATGTGAGTTGGGTTTTTCTTTTCTTTTTTTTGCTCATCAGTATTAACCGTATACATCTCCAGAGGGCAATCAGTGTTTACAACTTTGTCAAATATCAGCCCTTTTAGGACTTTCAAATAATTTCTTTATCTTAAATCAAAGAAAAAGATTAAATGATAACAACTCACAATAATATTTTTTTCTGAAATCTTAAACATCCTGGTTTTTTTAAAGGTTTAGAATAAGAAATCTTATAAATTCAAGATGTTTAAAATTTCAGAAAAAAAAATGCAAAGTCTAAGAGTCTAAAGTATTAGATTCTAGATTTAAATTTCTAATTTTATTTTACGTATTACGTTTTTACAATAATTAGTTTTAGTGTAGTTCAGTCACACATGTTACATTTTGTTACTTTTGTTTAAAGAGATATTGTAATAAAACAAAATGTGGTGTAAAAATATTTTCTGATGTACAGTTTACTTTGTATACTATCTAAGTAATTATATTTGGTACTTTATATACATATGTTTTTAAATAGCTTAAAATACAAAATTTTACATACATCTTCCAACGTTTCCAAAACGGATTCTGCAAACTTACAAAATGGACAATAACTAACTGACCTAGAGGAGAAACTGTTTTAAATACGAGACCTTCGTTTTGAAGATTGTAGGTCAACTAATGTAGCATTACTTTGATCAACTAGGAAGATGGTTTGAAGATGCCAAGTTATATCTAAGTTATTCTAATGCATCTTAAAAAAATATTAGGACTTAGAGCAACGTATTCCAGAGATATTCTAGTCAAATCCCAAGCGAATTAAAATAACAATTTTTGTTAAAGCAATTATTAGAGTACATTCATGGGATTAATTTTAATCATATGTTATCCTTCCTGTGGGCCTCATTATCTCAATGCACGTTCTCAACAACCTGATATGACGAAGAACATGTTTAATTTTGTTATTCTCACATTTTAGTCAACTTCATCCTTAGATACCATAATGTTCAGCACAGCAGATGAGAACCAAAAAGCCGATTAGATGGTTTAATACCTCCATCAGTCCTGTACGTCTCGTTACTGACCATTACTTCTCCGATGCAACATAAGAATTTGGAAATTCACAGCCATCTTATTTCCTTTCTGAAAGAATAGACCGTGGAAACAAATTATCATTAGAACTAATAAGGATATTGTACAATAAGGCTTGAATACGCTCTTTAAAAAACAAAATTATCAGCACCATTTAAGCACATATTAACTTGCGTGTCGTTCCACAAATTTGCAACCATGTGAGCAAGTTTTTCTATTATTTTGTGAAATGTAATCACCAAACTTAATTCAAAACACTTAATAGAGATTTTCTCCAGAAACATTTTTAAGCGTTTGAAGTCAAAATAAGATTTACTCAAATTAAGTTGTTGTTGTTTTTATCTTTACAGAAGAGAAGAAAACAACAGGAGTACAGGTGGAAAGAAGAGCAAGCGTAAATATGTTGATGATCCCTTGGCGGCTTCTGCTACTGCTTCTAATGGCGCCTGCTGGAATTTTTGCCAAGCAGTTTCCATTTGACTCGTTTGTGACACCGAAACTACAGGATGTGTTAATGGAGAGAGAAAAATTGTTGAATGACGCTTTGAGCTCTGATGACGTCATTTCCGTTTCTCGGCGCCAAATGGAACAAATTCCTTCGCATTTACCTGAATTTTCTGAACCGGAACCAACATGTGCTGAACTACGTGCTGTATGGCGCCATATGAGACGAATGGCACGTCATAGTGAGATAACAAATGAAATACCTACCTTCCCCGTGACGTCATATCCACAAGGTTTTTTTGGTTACCTAGTTGATAAGCCACGTTCTTCGATCTTTCCAAAAACAAAACCCTCAAACCGAAACCGATCAAGTCTTCGTGTACCTGTTGAAGTCTATGCTCCAGAGTATCCTAAGTTTGGAAAAATCTTAAGAGGACCTGTAGATGCTAGCCGAATGAAGAGTAGTGCAAAGACTGGGGCTAAATCTAATCGTTATTATAACAACAAATACAGAAAAACGGGTAAGAACCGCTACGATAAGACCCGCTACAAATCAAAACCAGTCTCACCCAATTCCATTAATAGCGTTTTGTCTGGCACTTTTGCCAATAGTCCCTTTCCTGAAGAAACTCTAGGCGTGTTTGGTACTGTTGTCAATAGCCCTGAAGAAAAGGCTTTTCTGGAGAAACAACGCTATCTGGCGAAATCAAACAAGTTTCATGGAGTTCCAAACCGGAAATTTTCCAGTAGAAAATACATGAAAGGGGCTTTGGCCTACGGATCCATCAAAGAAAAACAGAAAGACAAGTACAAATATGGTAGTATCGTACGTGAACCGCCTTCTGGTGGACATGAAACAGGCCTAGTACTTCCTGAAGAAGAAGAAAAGAAACTGAATGAAATGGGTGCATTTGGTCGAGTAGTTAACAGGGCTGTTGGCTTTGGCCCGGACCAGGTAAGGGGTAGTTACTTTTAGTTAAGAACAACTAAAGAATTCTTCATATCAGCTATGTTGAAGGAATAACTCTGGACTCAAACTTTAACTTCGCATTAAACGAAAGGGAAGAATAAAATTGAGCCAAACCCTTCTCAAAATATATATATAATTTTTGTACTTTCGTGTATCAAGCCCCCCCCCCCTCAGTGGCTCAGCGGTAAGTCTGAAGGCTTATAACGCTAAAAATCAATCATATTTCTATGCCCGCAGTGGGCATATAGTACATTTTGTAGCTTTGTGTTTAATAACAAACAAACCATAGTCTTCGTAACCACAACCTTCACTTCGGGGGGGGGGGGCTCTCTTTCGTAACCATAACCTTCACTTCGGGTGTGAAGGAGTTGGTCCGGATTAGTTCGAGGTATAGTTTTGGAACCCTCTATTATCCTAAACGTTCTTCTGTGCCAGTTGGGCTTCTTCAGCACAAAACAAATAAAACTTTTTTTTTTTTTCTCTCGAAATTTTGTGTCCTTTGGCTCTAGATTATTTAACAACCCCGCTATAGAAATACACTTCCTCGGAGAAGCCGTGAAATTTTCTTCTAACCATAAGCAGTGCTCACACTGCAACTACTTAACAAAGATGACTTCATAAATATAATGGTACACTATACTGGTATTCTCATATATATTTAACGACCTCATTTGTCAGTCACTAATTAGATCAAAATTAAGACTTAGCATTAACTTTGTATAAAAAACAAACAATCAGAGCGAACTAAAAACGAACTTTACTAATGGCTGATGGGCAAAATATTTGGCAGAGAGAGAGAGAGAGAATAAGTACAACTGTATCTGTAGGCTGTCTCGAAACTTTTCTCCCGTGCACATGATTTTGTTAACAATGGAGAGTAACTTGATATTAATTTTAACAATTCGAGAACCGTTAATCTATAAGTATATCATTTTATTGTCAGGAATTTGCCGTGAATTAAATATGTAGGTATTGAAGATGTTGCCCGTGGCGCTATGCTCGCTTCAGTAGAGTAGTATTAAGTAAATTATTCTTATTAAATGTGATGAGCTTTCTGTATACAATCAGTATGAGTTGATTCGTTGAATATACAGATCACCACCCATAATTAGTAGGAATTATTTCTCGTACAATTTTGATGTCTACAATTATGACGAAATATTTTTCGCAATGCTGTTTCGCATCAGTATCGTTTAAGTAGATACAGTTGTTCATCGTGAAAATGGATCGTTTCGATCATTACGGTAGATGTTCGTGAACCGCTTGACGGAGTATCGCAAGGTTTACGACATTCATGCTAAGTTGAAATATTACAAGGTAACTGAACATCCATCTTAATTTCAGACTGTATAATACATTATAGCTTCACTATGATATTCGCATTGTCGGGGAATCGAAATTAAGTAGTACATTTGGCTGATATTTAAAATAGATTTATTTGCCACGAGAATCAAGTTTGCAACCTAGCTGATAATTGAGAGTTAATAGTGACGTAAAGTATTTTGATTAATATCCACCGATAGGAAGTGCCTTCGTATAATAAGACACTCAGATAAAAGCTTGTATAGTTCCTTTGACGGCTTCATCGGTCAGCCTGATTAAACACATGACTCTAAGAATAATTGAAACTGGGGAAAATGTGATTGCGCGGGTTCGAATCCCCTTCACCGGAAGTGCTCGCCCCTTCAGCTGTGGGTGCGATATAATATGACGATCAATCCTACTAATCGTTGGTAAAAGTGTAATCCAAGAGTTGGCGGTGGGTGGTGGTAACTAACTGCCTTCCTATCACTTCAAAATTGAGGACGGCTAGCGCAGATAACCCCCGAGTAGCTTATAGCGAAATTCCAAATAAACAAACTCCAACTTTGTGAAACACTTTGTGCCCCTATCATTGTTCATGATATGAAAGTAACCGGGTTTCGCAGAGCACAGATAGCCCATTGTGTAACTTTATGCTTAACTACAAATAAACAATGATAAATAAGAATAACATCCCATTACTTAATGCTGACCTGATTAATCATGTAACACTATCTAATTGTGTTAGAAACCAGCATTAAGTGTTTTAAATATATTTTTGGTATTATTACAGAGTTTCAGCATTTTGGATGAACCCAAACAGTTTGTTTGTTTTTGAGATATAATCTGTTTATAAATATATTACAATACATCCATTTTTGTTTTGGGGATGTAATCTGTTTATAAATATATTACAATACATCCCATTTTGTTTTTGAGATGTAATCTGTTTATAAATATACTACAATACATCCCATTTTGTTTTGGGGATGTAAT